TATAGTTTTTGTCTTTGTTCGAATCAGATTTTAATTTCCCTTCGAAATATTATTTGATTATATACGAAATTTTTATTTTTCCCTTTTTATATTATTACTTATAAATTCTGTTTTTACCTGTGTTTATTTTTATTTTTATTGCTTGATTTCCTTCGTCTTTTCTTTTTTTCTTCTTCTTCCCACAATGCAACTTTATTTCCTTTTCTGTTTATCTCCAACTTCATTTTCTGTCTTCTTTGTCTGCTATGTTTTCTGAATATTTTTCTCTATCTCCATCTTTTCTTATTATCATTTTTGTTATAGACATTGCTATATTAAAATAGCAATTTCTTTTTTCTTTTTAATATTTCACATTTTTCGTTGTTTTCTATTTTGGGGGCTTTTCTTTCTTTTACTGATAAAATTGTCGTTTGCATATTTTTAGTTAACTTACTTACATTATTATTAGTAGTAGAAAAACCCGTGGAAATTTCACGATTTTCCTATTTGGATTTTCTGATGAATCTTAATTCTTGAGCTCAAAGTGAGTTCCACGACAATAAAATACCCGTAAAAATTCCCCTATCGCATCGTTAAATATTAGCGCTTAACAACCTTAACAAAATATTGCAATAACAATCCTAAATATGAATATTGGTCGTTATTTTAAGAAGTAAAGGGGTACAAATGAAAACATCTGAAATAACTTTTATTCCATTTCACTGAAACAGACGTTAAACCCTTCTATCACCCCTTCTTTCTTTGTTTCTTGCTTTCATTTTCTCACTAAAACCAAGTAGCGTCTCTGATTTGTCTTTTTTGTCTTTCCACGTGATCAAAATGGAATAGTCCATTATTTGTAAAGTATTGGTAGGAAACGTTAAGTATTTCTATCTTCCTTTCTTTTTTCGTTCGTTTTCTTTCTTTCTTTTTCTCACTGAAACCAAGTAGGATCTCTGAAATGTCTTATCCATCATTCTACGCGATCAAAATGAAATAGTCCATTATTTATGAAGAATTGACAGGGCGTAACTGTCGTGCTAACTGAGGGAGGGACAAGCAGAATTATAATAAGATTATTATCATTATTATTATTATTATTATTGGGGTTGTTGTTGTTGTTTTTCTCTATTTGTATTTTAACCTTCCTTTTACACTTCTTTCTTCAAAAATTTACTTTTTTACAATGATTTTTACCCTGTACAAAGCCCGAGAGCCACTCGAGGTAGGGAATTACAGAGTAAAGAGCACAAAATATGCAGATTACAGAGTAAGGAGCACATAATATGCAGAAGATAATAGTTAACCCTAGACTTGAACAGGTTAAGATTGTAGTAATCGGGGAAGCATCCACTTGGGAGTCCGTTCCACAAAGCAGCAGATCGTAGGAAGAAGCAGTTTGAGTGGAATTTACATCTCACCAGTAGAATACGAAGGGAATGAGGCTGGTTCGATACAATGTGTGTGACGTGGTGGGTCTTAGCCGTGTAAGTTAGAACTGGTGGAATTATGGAATGTAGTTCGTCTTAACACTTTCCATGGAAATAGCGATAGAGCAGCTAGAGTCTTCTTCTTCAAAAAAAAAAGAAAGTTATTTTAGATTTCTTTGCTTTTTATCTCTTTCTAAAGCTCCCCTGAATTTTGGAAAATATTTCCTTCACATGTTTTCTTTTCCTTATATTTTCTTGTTCTTTTTAGACGTCTTTTTCTTCATTCATTCCCTTCTCTTCTCTGTTATAATATCTGAGTCAAAAGTTACAGTATTGAAAATGACATTAATAATAATAATAATAATAATAATAATAATAATAACCTAGATATCGTGATCAAAGTCCACAAAAACAGAAAGTGCTTTCTTATTGACATGACAATTGCAGCAGACTGTAATGTATCTTTAAAGATCGTCAAAATTATCAAAGTAGAAGGATCTTGAAATGGAAATCTCAAAAATTTAGCACATGAGGACATCGATAATTCCAGTTATAGTTGAAGACCTCGGTTTGATTTGGAAAAGCTTCCGATAAACTCAATGAAGGGATTCCTAGTAGCCCATGCCTTAAAGAAATACAGAAGATTGTACTCACAAGTACAGCTAACACCTTACGAATGTCTTTATCTATGTAAAATATGTGTGATCTTAGGTTGCCATTTTCTTCTCTTTTTTTTTCTTTTTTACAAAAATACTCAGTGAAAATGTCGTGATGCCATTTCTGACCTTAGGTCTTTGGTTCTGATTCAGAAGAAAATGCGTATACAACAGAAATTAAAGGAAATAATAATAATAATAATAATAATAATAATAATAATAATAATAATAATAATAATAATAATTGCACGGTGTTGGCACCCACTGAATATAAAACCCGACATGACAGAGTGGGCCAATATCTGCACTGGAAAATCTGCAACTTCTACGGGAAGGAAACTGAAAGAAGCTGGTATGAACACCACCCAGACCCGATTACGGAGATAGGACCTGTTACAATTCTATGGGACTACACAATACACACTGACAGAACAATCAAGGCCAACCGGCCAGATATTGTTATTAAAGACCACAAACAAAAAAAAACGGTGCCTCCTTATTGATATGGCAGTCCCTGCTGACTGCAATGTATCTTTAAAAGATATTCAAAAAAAAAAAGTTGTCAAAGTACAAGGACCTTGAAATAGAAATCTCGAAAATGTGGCATATGGGAACATCAACAATCCCTGTTGTAGTTGGAGCCCTAGGACTGGTTGGAAAAGATTGCAGTAGACTAATTGAAGGATTCCTGGAAGTCCATGCCTCAAGGAGATACAAAAATTGTTCTGACAAGTACAGCCCACACCTTACGAAGGGCTTTATCTATGTAATTTATTTATTTATTTTTTTTTTTTTGTCAGTGGAAAGTGTTATGACGCCATTTCTAACCTTAGGTCCCTGGGCGGGACCCGGAAAGAAATGTGTAAGCGCCAGAAATCAAAGAAAATAATAATAATAATAATAATAATAATAATAATAATAATAATAATAATGACACCGCTGCTTGGAACAGCTCATGTGCTAAGGAAGGCACTATATATTTCTGCAGGCATGAACTGAGACATGATCATCACCTAACCGAAACATCTAAGAGGTAGTCTGTAAGGGTTTACATAAAATAAGCTTTCGAATAATGTCATATAAAAAACAAAAACACTTCCGTTACACTATAATGTAGGATGTGTGGGTAGTGTAACGGGTCTCGTCGTGGAAAACGAAATCAACGAGCCGAACTCAAATTCCAGGCTAATCGGTTGCGTTCATTTTCACACAAATGCCTTTGGGAAGGGGGTGAATCCATCTGCCCTCCTCTGAGCCTAAAAGAAGGAAAACATTGAATTATTCACAATGGAGAAGACAACAGGAAACAAACTATTATCTTTCACAATAATGCATGTCCGTTCACAGATAATAAAAAACGGAATGTGTGGAGCGTTATGATCGCATTACTTCGGAAGGGACACGTCATTTAAAAAAAACAATAAGAAACAGGAAACTTTCGTTAGAAACAAAAACAAACAGTACTAAACTGTTATATAATATCAGTCTTCCTATATGACAGTGAATATTGGCCAATCCTCACATAAAGAAAAAAAATTGAAGTAACAGAAATGTGGTTCTACAGAAGGATGCTGAGAATACAATGGACCGAACATGTGAGCAACGACGAAGTTTTAGAGAAAATGGTAACAAAAGGAGACTTATACTTAACATCAAGAAGAGACGGTTGGGATTTCTAGGTCACACAATAAGGAAAGAAGGCTTGGAAAATTTAATACTCACAGAACAAATTGAAGGTAAGAGGAGCAGAGGAAAACAATGCATAACATATCTAGCGAGCTTGTGTAAATGGATGCCTGAACAGGAATTAGAAAAGATAGTGAAAAGACAATTTATTAAGAATTACAAAGGCTAGGAAATTGTGGAGAGCTGTGATCATTGACATCCTAAAGGAACACGGCACGTAGAAGAGGAACATGTAACAATAATATTCAAATTGATTTTATTTTTAAATTTGTAATTTATATTTGAATTTATTTATTTTATTCAATTTATAATTGATTCGTTTAAAAATCTGATCGATTCATATTAAAATTTATTCGAATTTAATTTACACGTGAGTGCCATATTGCCTTTGTTCTTTTTCAAGATGAACATTGACAGTATAATGATAAGTTTGCCCTTCCATTCTGAAACAATATGTTCCTCTAACAGGTGTGACATTTATCTTAACACCAAAGGACACCATTGAAGGGCATCTGCAATGAAAAAAATAATTCATATATACATGCATGTTCACGACTAATTGAACTTTTATTAGCAATTCCCGCAGACTTTATTATAATATTTACATGTAGAGTATAAAATGAGTGTATTTTCATTGAATGTATATAAGTGTAAGCTATTGTTGTAAATATTTTTGGATAAATAAATCTATCTTTTAGACCCCCTCCTCTCCTCCACCTTGTGTTTAAGAACTCTCTGTCAAAAGTATTTTCTCATAAGTAATTAAAATTGCAAAGAAGCGTGCATAAGTCATTTATTTCTGACGTCAATCTTGACGGAGAGTAAACAGTACTTACGTTCATAAGTTAATCTAAAAATCAGTCTTATAAAAACTCCGTGGAATTTCCAAGGGTGCAACTAGTATATCATCATCATCATCGTCGTCGTCGTCGTGATGATGATTCTTTTCTTGTCTTTACAATAGTCTTCTCCTCCCTGTCCTTATCCTCTTTCTCACCCTGCTAATTTATTTCCCTGCGATTGTCGCGGCATTCATTATGTTCTGCTACATTTCAGCTTTATTTAATGGCTTCCAAAATCGCCGCTAGGCGAACGGCAGACGAAATTTGGCCGGCCCGAAAGTGACTCACGTATTCGATTTCCCGCCAAACAATTACACAAACATGGCTGGCGTTTCTGCTGCTGCTGCTGCAAAAAAAAAAAAGACTCAAATTATTTCTTAAACAATTTATTTTTAATAACACATATAATGCCTCATTTCCTTTTATACATTATTGTATCTCACTTTCTTTCTTTCTCTCTTTCCTCTTCAGTGTTCTCTTTATTTATCTTTCACCTTTTATCTGCTTCTCTCTCTTTAACCCTATTTCTCGCTTTATTTCGTCCTCTCTTTTTCTTTTTGACATATTTCTTATTGTACATTATTTTCCTCCTCTTTTTCTTCCCCTCTCTTTCTCTTACTTTTTTTTTCCCCTATATTCTCTCTATATCTTTAGCTTTTTATTTACACCTCCCTTCTAACTCATTTTTTTCCCGTTCCCTGTCTTTTGGCTTCGTTTCTTTTTATACATTATCCTCTCTTTCTTTCATTCTATTTTTTTTCTTTTTCTCGTCCTCTTTCTCTCTCTATCGCTCACTCTCTAGTTACTTTTCTACCTCTCTTTATCTTGTGCTCTCTTTATCGCTTTTCCCTGTTTATTTATCTTTCCTTTCTTTTGCTTCTCGCTTTCATTCATTTATTATTTTGTCTCTCACTTTTAAAAGAAAATCAATCATAATATATACATTAATAAATAATTAAACAGATACATAATAAAGACGCTTTCAAACTTTTGTCTTGCTTAGTAAAGGTAAGTGTGGTATAAGAAAGAAGCTACAAGACGGAACTTTATGGGATGCGACAGGGTGGCTTGTGTCTTTGATGGATATTTTGCCTCTGGAGATATGAACATTTCAAAATAATGGATCATAAATCCATATTCCAACAATTTGGAGAAATTGGCGAATGATGAAGAGAAGGTCTTATTGATTTACGGACAAATCGAGATCTTCCAATTTGAATACGAGACTATTGACGTGTTTTGTTGCACAGGACGAGATATGTTCCCAGTAGAAAAGCACTCCGTGTACTCATTCCATTTGCAGAAATTATACTTGTGGGAATTTGGATTCAGTCTTCTTTCGTAAATCAAGACAAAAATGGAAAAAATCGCCAGAACTCGCAGGAAGCAAGAAGGTCTCATATTTTGACAAAATCAAGCGCAAGAATCAAAATCAAAATAATTGAATTTTATTTTCCGATTTGTGATTCATTTTATTACTTACATATTTTCAACTAAATTCTTATGGCTTAGTTTATAGTTGCATTTGTGTAGAGTTAAAAGCTTATTTGTTATTCCAGTTTTGTTCACACGAGGTAATATATAAAGTTCAAAAAATTATGTTAGACTTCTTACTTTTCAGATTGTTTAGGGGGTGCGAACACTCCTACGGACGTGGAAGAGTGGGAGATTCACTCACATCATAGCAGCAGAAATTAGTCTTGTGTTCACAGAGATAAAAGAATACTTGACAGGAAATAAATCGTACACAACAGGAAAAACATGGTATGTATTGTATGTTAATTTCATACAATTTGTTTATATTTATTTATATTTATTGTGTATATTGGTGAGTGTATTTTTAGGTTAGAATTGTTTTATGAACATGTAATAAAAAGGTGAATTTACTCCGTAGTATTGCAAGCCATATCACAGAGAGAAGTTACACACGTGTTGCCCGTACCAAGTTTCGTGCTGAAGAGATTTAACTTCTTTTGGCGGGTTGACCGTATTTCTTGGAGGAACATTTTTGTTGCATGCTGGTAGAAATTTTATTATTTTTAATTTTTATTTAATTTATTTTATACAATATTTTTATGTTACTGTTTTATTTTATTTTATTTATAATTTTCATTATTATTATTATTATCTTATTTTTATTTATTCATAATAATAATATTCCTACAGAACAAAACAAGGTTGGGAACACTTATTTTAGACAGTAACTATATATATATATATATATATATGTGTGTGTGTGTGTGTGTGTGTGTGTGTGTGTGTGTGTGTGTGTGTGTGTGTCTATCTATCTATCTATCTATATATATATATATATATATATATATATATATATATATATATATATATATATGTATTTCTGAAGAATATAATGGATTTATAATATAAACAAAAGAGCACTTGCCATTTTTGTCGTGTGGGAAGAAGTGATTACTGATACGCAAATGAGTGCATCACGTGCCGGGAAAGAGGTGGGGGCGTTGCTCTTGGACAATGCAAATGCGATGTGCAACACAAGTCATTCATAGTTCGAGCAGCGGCAAGGAAACATGGTGGTGTCGAAATAGTTCGTTCGTGGTTGTCCGCTTTATGACTTTAACGTGGGCTTGTTCGCAGCCGCATAAAGTCGCTGAATGCGTCAAGTCTTTAGCGATAATGCCGTGAGTGGACGCACCAGCAGACATTAGTTTCAGAAGTTCAGATTGGGAGATCTGTCTCTTTTTTTATGAATCCTGCAGTAGCCGGCCACAGGTCTCGAGCGATGAGGCTCTGAAAGCGGCCATAAAGGAGGACAACAACCAAATCTGCTGTGAGTCTGTCGAACGCTTCCAGGTTTCTGATGAAGCATTCAGACTTCAGCTACACCGCATAGGGAAGGCGTACAAATTGAGCAAGTGGCTACCCTACAAACTATCGGAAGCCAACAAGCAACAACAAATGACTGCCTGTTTCTCGTTGCTTTCTCGGCAACACAACGTACTCATATTTGATCGAGTGCTCACTAGTGACGAAAGGTGGGTCCTGTATGACACTCCCAAGCGTGCCAGACGTTGTTTGCCACCATGGGACCCGGTGCTTCACACCATATGCCCACCTCTACACTGACGCAAGATTATGCTCTGTATCTGGTGAAATGGCCGACAAGTGATGCACTATGAGCTTCTACAAACGGGCCAAACCCTCACTGCGGACGTACTCGCAGCAGTTGGAACAGATGCAACAGACACTAAAGCAGAAGCCAGTATTGGTTAATCGCAAGGGTGTGTTGTTCCTTCATGACAATGCCAGGCCTCATGTGGCACAGCAGGTGGCCAGGGATACCATACGCCGACTATCTGGAAGAAATTGTGCCATCTACCTTACTTCTATGATCTTGCGCCAACAGATTACCACCACTTCCATTTCCTGGACAACCACCTTCGTGTGAAATCCTTCGCAAATGAGGCAGACTTGCAACAGACACTCACAGACTTCTTTGCGTCCATGACACCTGATTTTTACCACCAGGGCAATGTGGAGATACATTGGCAAAAGGTTCTGAAAGCCGTTGGGGATTACTTTGAGGAGTAGCGTTATGTCAAATTTGCTGTATACCTTATCTCATAAATCAAAAACAGCCATTACCATTTTTGTTTACCTTGTATTATTTAAACCGACATATTTTTATCTTCTTTTAGTCAGTGAAATTAACATCGACAGAAATTTCATAAATTATTGAAGACTATGAGTGAATCGATGGTGACAAACGGTATAAAACAGGCACAGTATAAAGTTAGTGTCGGTCAAGCTTGGGGGTGGGGGTCGATTAAGTTAAATCAAATATACAGGGTGACTTAAAAGTAATTCCCTATTTAATGTATGATGGACTCTCCCGTCTAAGTATAATTTTTACAAGACGGGAGAATCCATTATACATAGAATAGGAGTTACTTTTCATTCACCCTATATATAAATTATAAGGCTCAAATGATATATATCGACTGAAATCAAATGAAAATTGATCGATAAATACATCGATTAAATATAACCGGGGAAAATATTCGTAAGTGGTACGATAAAAATTAATGTCAGATTGGGAAATAATTTTTTGGTTTTTGTTACTAACCCCCTCAACTGAGATTTTTAAATGATCGAGAGGCTGGTATTAGATTTTTTTAAAAATATCAACTGTATATATTTTTTTTTTTTTGTTCATTCCATCTATCTGCTTATTATTTTTGTAATCTATCTTTTTCGTCTTTCTATCTTTTTTATTCTTCTCAACGATTCTTTCTTCTTTCTTTCCCTCGTTTTATATCGTCTTTCTTTCTTCTTTATCCCTATCTATTCTGTTACAATTCTTTTTCTACCTTGTTCTCTTCAAATCTCTCTCCCATCATATATTTACGTCTATATTATGGTTTCTATTTTCCTCTTCGTTTGTTTGCTTTATTTTTTTTTGTTACTTTTCTCCGTTTCTTTTGCTTCGCCCATTTTTTCTTTTATCTTTTCAGCCATCTTTCTATCTTTTCTTTCTGTTTGTTTGTTTCCCCAGTTTTCCTTCTCACACTTGATCTTCTATCCAACTTTTTCCCGCCACTTTCTTCCAGTTATCTGTTGCTTTCCTTTAGTTCTCTTTTTATCTTTTCATTATATTTTTTGTTTGATTTAAATCATTCTTCTTCTTCTTCTTCTTCTTCATCATCATCATCATCATCGCTATAACTTATTGATTGTCTTTCTTTCTTTAAGGTTCCTTTTTTTTCTTTCTTCTTTCATTATCTCCCCAACAACATCTGTAACATGTTTCTTTTCGTTAGATTTTCTCATCTCTTTCTTTCTTTCTTTTCCTCTCATATGATAAGTAAGGGGGGGGTAAAATCTCATCAGTTCAAACCATTTGCCCAGTATCTAGCCAAAAGCACAAACCAATTTTTTTTCTGTTTGGCTGAGCCAAAGAACTTTGGGTATCCATTTGTACATATATATAATTCTAACATCACACACACACACACACACACACACACACACACACACACACATATATATATATATATATATATATATATATATATATATATAGTTAACCCCTAAGTTATCCTTAAGCAAGGCGATGTAGCCACTAAGAAGCAAGAGTTACTAAGTGAAAGAAACTGAGAAAATATTGTTGAGTAGAAAGGAGAATAAAAGAACAGGATTCAAAAAGAGAGATGATATATACATATATATATATATATATATATATATATATATATATATATATATATATATATATATAGAGAGAGAGTAAAAATTCAAATATGAATAAAAAATAATATCTGTAAAAAGAACGTGTTTCGTCCCCGATGGACTTTTACCTTGTCTTTATATATATATATATATATATATATATATATATATATATATGTGTGTGTGTGTGTGTGTGTGTGTATGTGTGTTTGTATCTGTGTCTGTGTGCATGCGTGTGTGTGTGTATTCAGAGTGCGAAGGATAAATTGTCGACTAAATGACGCAAAAATAAAAATAACACTGACATCTCATTTTAATAGATATATTTACCAAAATGCACAAAAATATCTTGAAATACTAAAGAGAAAATTTATTAAATAAAATCGCCATTAGCATCAACTATGGCCTCCAGACGCCTTAGGAATCTCCCACCTCCCTTCTAGATGGTCTCTTTGTCTAAGCTGGTGAATGCTGCCATAATTCATGCCTACTATTCATCTTTGTTATTACAAGGGGTTTTGTTGGTCTCTCGCTCAGCTGCGCCCCACACATAATAATCAAGGAGGTTGCAGTCTGTGGAGTTAGGTGGCCAGATGTATAGGGGGATGTAGTCGCATAAATTGTCTGACAGCCATGACTGGGTTCTTCTGCTTGCGTGACATGGTGCAGAGTCATGTTGTCAGATATAGGGTCTTCCAGAAATCACCGTCTTGACCCATGACAACAACACCTCCTCTAGGCACTTGATGTAGCCCTTTGTGTTCAATCTGAGGCCCTCACCAACAAATTCAGGAGATCTTTTCTTATCAGAACGACCAGAGAGATTTTTCCGAGTGACAGTAGACTCATTCAACCCTTTCCGAATCCTGTGCACTGTCCTCAGATTGACAACCAACACTCTGAAATGTTCATACTGGAGCTTCCGGCGCGAATGCCAAGCAGTGCAGCATGCCGTTTCTAAATTTATGGTCGAGTGAATTGCATGATGGAGCTCTTTTTCTCTGAGACAGTATATATATATATATATATATATATATATATATATATATATATATATATATATATATATACACGTGTGTATGCATAATTATTTAAGTTAAGAAAGACGTTGCACTAGGTCAATTTCACTTTTTGAGCAAGAACATCATGTATCCCTACACATCATTGTCAAGCCATATGTGTTACATTTGAATTTTTCTTCTAGTTGGATAATTTAACGAAGCAGTCTAAAACTTCCAAATTACCACAAACCTGGAAAGCAACCCAGATATTTCTACAACCATACACCTGTACTAGTAGTAGATGGTCGTTGAACCCATGAAAGCATACATCCGTCCTTTGAGAGGTTTTGACTTTTTAACCCTACAGAGTGTCTTACAGGTAGTATTGGGATACACAGTTATACTAGCACTTACAGAATGATCTGACGATACATATACATATACGTACATCTCAGACATGGGTAATTTTATACCAAAGGAAAGATACCAACAAAAAACAAATAGCTAGCCTCAATTCATGTCAGAATGTGTTGCAGAATTCGACCATGGTAACCAATAATAACATCTCTACCACAGAAATCGGTGTTAGGAAACACTTGCTGCATTACAAATTGCAAGAAAATTCTAGAAAATGCAAAGTACATCGAAACTAAATTTGAAAGTAAAAGACTTGTTTCCTATGAATTCTGGAAAGCCTCGAATAAAATTGTCAATAGAGGCAAAGCGTCAGTGTCAGCTATCATAAATGGTGCTGAAGTTATTGTAATCTCAGAGGACAAGGCAAGGATTTTTGCAATTAACTTTGCTTAGAAGATAAGTAATATTCCTTACCTTACTTCCCTCTTTACACGGGGCACAAACCTTGTAATAACCCTATCACTAGAAAACATGACAATTCGCTGATAATAAAGAAAGGGAATCTGTGGAGAGCTATAGCCACCTACGTCCTCAAGAGACATAGCATTCAAAATGTATATGCAGTTTTACTTTGCTTCAAAGTAGACCTCTTTCTGATTCACGCAAAAACCTGTCAGCCGGATGTGAGGTCTTCGAAAGTAAAATTGTAAAAATTTAAGAAACGTCGCTCAGCGCATGGGTTCCGAGTATCGCATCCGGTTCACAAAACAAATCCTCCAAAATATAAAATAATAGATTGTTCTCAATAGCCGTTACACATGACATCACGCGAGAGCATTTCAAATTTCCAGCTTCCCAAAGAGTACCAGTATGCAGATAAAGGAATTTTCACTACCACACACATACCACATCGGTTTTTGATAATGGCTCCGGAAGACGAAAGTACTTGACAAAGCTTAACAAAATATGAACTCCGGGCAGTTTATACACAACTTCGAGCACAAAACTCAACACCTTATTCGAAAATTGGAAAAATATGATAAAATAATTAAATAAATAGACCTTGCTTGTTCTTCTAATCAAAATTGCTCAGACATATATATATATATATATATATATATATATATATATATATATATATATATATATATATATAATGGTATTACTACAATAATATCAAAATCCTCTATTCAGAGTTTCATGAGATTTTAGCTTATTTTAAGCATCAGCTTCTATTATTAGTTGTGTGTATAATAGCACACGGTTACAGTTGAGCACTTTTATAAACTAAAGTAAACAATAACTAAGCTTTCAGCTTATTTTAAGCTTTAAGGTTTTCTTGTTACTTTATATATATATATATATATGTGTGTGTGTGTGTGTGTAAGTGTGTGTGTGTGTGTGTGTGTGTGTGTGTGTGTGAATTTATATAAAGGATAAATGGATTATTTTTTTAATCCGACATATTTTTATTACTTCAAGCGTTATTTTAGTGGATACATGGTGTATCCATTAAAAATATAGTTTGAAGTAATAAACATATGTCGGATTAAAAAAAAATAAAGAAAACTACATTAATTCTTTAGACAAAAGAAACTGAGCCGATATGCGTCTTGAGAAAGATCTGAACGAGTTTGCTTCAATTGTAAAATAGAAACTTGCTTTATTGTCAGGTTCTTTGTGGCCGAGCTGTAAAAACACGCCCGGGAAGACGGCGGTTCCTCAAGGACACATGGCCCAGTCGATAAAAGCGTTGGTGGGATCTAGTGACTTGACCCAAAGGGTTGTGAGTTCAATAACTGGCTACTGCAGTGGTGAACAAAGACATGTAGAATTGAGTTAAAGGGAGATAACAGAGACATCTGGAAGACACGTGGAACTAGAACAATCTACCCCCGTGGACGAAATAAAGCATTCAGTTCAAAATTCTAATCATCTGAAGAAGGCCGGAGCGTAAATCGACCGATACGTCGTAAATATTTCGATAAAGATGAGGACAACAGTCCGAACAATATATATATATATATATATATATATATATATATATATATATATATATTAGTTGTAACAGCAAAATTGTTCAAATCGTGTAACTGCATTCTTGTCCATCCCACAAAATGTTTAATATCTAAAAAAAACACTAAACTAATTGTTTCTTTTTGACAGGTTTTCAGATAAGACGTTTAGCCATCTTTCGTAAGAATCACTTAAAACTCCATTGAGTTATTCAGCTGGAAAGAGATCAGGTTAAAATCGTTTTGTGTCAGCCTCACTATGTCTTCCCAATTAAGGAATGGTGAAAAGAAAAAGATCATTCGGGCCTTCAGTAACGGTACCAACATTTATACTCTGGCTTCGATCTTCAAAATCTATTAAAGAACCATCAAGAGAACGGGGAATAAGTTTTAAAAAGATGGGACAGTACAGCGGAAAACTGGATCAGGAGGTCACAACAGGAAGAAGGATCATCATTTCAACTTAGAGCTGAAGAGATCAATTAGAAAACAACTAACTCAAGTCTTTTGTTACGTAAGAGAGGAGTTTTGGGTATGACAGTCTAAAAAGCAGTGAAAAAAGACTTGAAAATGAAATCATACGTGAAACGTATGAGGTACCTTGTTATTCCAAGACAGAAAGTTAGAAGGTCAGAGAAGGTGAAGCTCATCTTGAATAAGTTGGAAAAGAATCCTGGAATAATATATATATATATATATATATATATATATATATATATATTTGAACTTTATTTCAATACTTCATGAGCTTCCGATCCTTAGCGATGTTTTATAATGATGAACGTCATTTTCGTTTATGATCGATTTTATCACGATTCTTCTGTTAAGTTTTCAGAGTAATTATGCATTCTTACGGTTCAAAGTAGATTCGAATTGTGTTATAAAAACTCGGAAAATTCCAGTAAGATATCTTTAATAATTTCTTAAGCTACAACGGTTTAAATCTTAATCTAACAAATAGACAATTTTGCTTTTATACGATTTGGACAATGTTGCTGTTACAGCCTGTACATATATATATATATATATATATATATATATATATATATATATATATATATATATATATATAAATCGTACACTAAGGTCAACACCAAGTAGCAACAGTCTGTTTCATGCTTGACCTTAATCTTCTCACGAGACCTAAAGATTGCATTCAAGCATGAAACAGGCCGCTACCACTCGATGTTGACCTCAGTGTCCAATTTTATATTTACAAACGCTCCATCCCTGATAATGAGCACTTTCAGCTATAAATAAAACATACCTTAAAACTATATATATATATATATATATATATATATATATATATATATACGCACACACACGCTTCTTCTTTCTTTCTTTCTCTTCATTTGATTAGTTCTCATTTATTTCCCTTTCTTACAAATGGCCGTTTTTCTACCTTCTTTTATTTCTCTTCTTTCTAATTTAGTTTCTTCGATTTTTATTTTTCATCTGTTTTTTTATTCTTTTCTTATTAGTCTCCTTCCCTGCTATCCGCTATTTTCTTTTCTATTTTCTTTCTTTCGTCCTTTGTCTCTTCTTTATTTCTCTCCTCTCTCTTATTATTCTTTGCCTCCCTATTTTATACCCTTTCTACTTTTTCTCACTTCCCTAACATTTCTCATCCATTTTCTTTTTATTTCTCTGTCGTCTTTTATCATTATTCATTTTATTTTAATTCGGCCTTTTTCTTTTTATTCAAGTTATTTTTTTCTCTATCGAAAAAAAATTACCGCCTATTCGGCTGTTGGCAAGATCATTATTATCGATTCTGAATTGCTTTATGATCAGACTCTCGTTGATTACTTTGCCAAAAACAGAAAAAAAAAGAAAAGTAAAAAAGAAAAACCAAACGATAACAACAAAATCGATTCCCGAGCAAAATAATAAAAAATAACTGTAGTTCAGAAATCGGACAGTGGAGAGGGTGGCATGGATTTTCTGGCACTGATGCGACTTCATCCAACAACCAAGTAACCCTTTAAGAGATTGGACAGCGTATTACATTGGTTATCCTGTTTGGCGAAGGCCATGATTTTTTTTTTATATATTTATCTGATTTCATCATTCGAGAGCCACACCGACGTGAGAATTTTATTTTGAGTTCGTTAATCCTCTCATAAAGGCGGAATAAGGATTGAAAAATAATCCTTTGATAAGGATTATCTTTTTTTTCAGAAATGATCCCTTAAAAGGCAATAGTAACTGTGTTTGTAACATTTAAAGCCTTTTCATAAAAGAAATTTGAATCGAGGCTAACGATGTTTAAAAAAATTAAAATTACTAACAGGAATTCTATGTAAGCAATATATATATATATATATATATATATATATATATATATATATATATATATATATATAAAGAGAGAAAGAGAGGTGTGCAAACACCTTTTACATATTATTTACGAAGGAGTGCTGAAATGTTCTCGGCTCATTGAGAAGGATTGAAGAGTGCGTTGTGTCGGAAACATTTCAACGCCCCTTGGTTACACACACATATAAATACATATATGATGGTAAATTGTTGCCATTTTATATTCCTAATTTCGCGCATGCGCGTCGTTTGTTTTTGATTTTGTCGAGTGCACAGTATAATAGGGTCAGTTGGGTACTGTCTGTGAGAAAAAGAGCAACATGACCCAATTCAGTCCTCCAGAAATTTTGGAAACGGCTTGCTTTACTATTTGGCATTCGCGTCGGAAGCTCCAATACGAATATTTCAGAGTGTTTGAGTGTCAATCTGGTGAGAGTGCTGAGGATTCGGAATGATTTAGATGAGTTGAATAGTGATTACGAAGGTACGGCAGTTTTGAAAACTCACTTCGATCGTTCTGATAAGAAAATAACTACAGAATTTGTTGGTGAGGGTCTCAGAGCCAACACGGAGGCCAACATCAAGTGCCTTGAGAAGGAAGTGCTGCCCTGGGTCAAGAGGGTGTCTTCTGGAAGACCCTATGTCTGGCAACAGGATTCTGCTCAATGCCACACACACAGGAGAACCTAGTCATGGCTGTCATACAATTTCCGCGACCAAATCACCCCTTACATCTGGCAACCTAACCCCCTGAAAATGAAAAGAACTGAATGCAAAGATTATAGCAGTATTCACCAACTTAAACAAGGAGACTTTCCAGAAGAGATGCAAGAAATTCCGAAGTCGTCTGGAGGCTGTTGTTGAAGCCAATGGGGATCTTATTGTATAAATTTAATCTTTAGAATTTCAAGATATTTTTTGTATAATTTTTGTAAATATATCAGTTAAAATGAGATATCAGTGTTATTTTCATTTTTGCGCCATTTAGACGACAATTTATCCATCGCACCCAAATAAATAAATAATATATATATATATATATATATATATATATATATATATATATATATATATATATAATTATTTATTAAAAAATTATAACATAAACATATTATAACATCACTACTAAAATAGCTATTTTGCGTCAACACTTCTGGTGTCTTATCAAGTGATGGTGTTGTTCTACATTCAACATCATCACTTGATGAGACAGAAGTGTTGAAACAAAATGGCTATTTTTGTAGTGATGTTATAACATGTTTAGGTTATAATTATTGAATAAATAATATTTGCTCTACTCTGTATTGAGCACTTTTTTAAGAATAGTATTTTTGGTTATTGGAATTTATTCCGCCTACATACTATACTTGGATATATATATATATATATATATATATATATATATATATATATATATATTGTTGTGGATTCCGGGTTGAAATCCGGTACCAATAAATAACAAACGCCAGGAATGAATATATGAAAATAATGTATTAACGTAATAATACAAACTCGTAAAGCAGGTTAGTAATTCAAGGAATACAGGTTAGTAGCAAAGTATATATACAGTCTTTAGTATTGAAGTATCGCTGTATGACTTCTTACTGAGTCTACGTGCTCGCTCACTGTGACTCCTACAACGCTGTTACCTCACCCCTCACTCTTCCGGTTACCTACAACCTTTTACTCTGCCACTCTGGACTCGACTCGACTCGACTCGACTCTTCGGTCTTGCTCTGTTCTTACTCTCGTCTTACTCTTGCAGTAGTATATGTATATATACTGGGTGAGTTCATTTATATAAAAAGGGTGGACCCCTCAACATATATATATATATATATATATATATATATATATATATATATATATATATATATATATATCCAGGTACCATGAGAACGAATCATCAAGCGACGATATGCAGTGTATTTCGATATTTCGGTGTAATGTCTGTTACCCTCTCTATAGCTCTAACATTCGTCCCACACTCTCATACTGACACTCTCTCTAAATTTTATTTTTTATTTCCGGGGTTGTTTTTTTCTGTTTTCTTTTTGAATTTGTAGGTCTGATGAATTGGATCGTATTTACGGTTCCAATGGAATAAATTATAACCATGGAATATTAGTGTTTAAGCCTTTTTATTATATCCTTACTCTGTCCTGGACATTGAGTTCTACCTGGATTCTATCCTCTTGGAATTTTTTTTATACACAATATATATGTATGTGTATGCATGTATGTATATATATCTATATATTTTGCATATGTATGTGTATATTTACCACTAATATTATCTATCTATCTATCTATCTATCTATCTATCTATCTATATATATATATATATATATATATATATATATATATATTACTTCAAACGTTTTTTTATAGCGGCTACTTTAATAAATAATACTGGGGCATCTATTTCAACTGCCAAGTATTCTCTATGATAACGTTTGAAGTAATAAAAATGTCGAATTTAAAAGGAATTATTAATTCTTTAAAAGAAAGAAAAAATAAGAAACTTTTATAAGCATACACAAGTCCCTTTCAACGACCACCTTGTTAATATTTATACCCAGACCGACGGCGTCGTCATGGAAAGACTTCTCAGTCCTTTATTTTACAATTTTTATATGTTCAACTTAGAAAACAAAATATTTAATAAAATTAATCAACACACCATTTTTGCCAGATATATTACAAAAAAGACGAAACAGCAATTTGTTTTGTAAACCGGATGCGATGCTGCGTAACCCAGAGCGACTTTTTAAATTTTTTTTAAAATTTTGCTTACGAACACCTCACATCCACCTAACAAGTTTTGGTGCCGTGTGAATCATATGCATTTTGAATGCTATGTCTCTTGAGGAGGTAGGTGATTATAGATCTCCGTAGATTCCTTTTCTTTATTATCAGACGAATTGTCACAACTTATTTGAAAATATAGTGAAATATTTTCCTGTTGTCATCTCAATGATTTTGAATTCAGGCTTCTCATTCTCCTAGAATGGCTCTCACTCAAGACTGGAGATTCCGGCGTACCCCACTATTTAATCCATAGCTGGGGAGAAAAAAAATGGAATCATATCTTTGCATAAGTACGAAGTGAACACAACAGTCTAAGTTGTAACTTGAACTCTGCTTATCGATTTCATTTTCCCTGCTAAAAACCGTTATGCATAGGTACATCAATAATTCCTTAGCTTAATGATCTAAAAGGAAAAGCATTTGTTTTTCAGTATAGATTTCTTCCATGTTAATACAATTGATTCATTGGTGAATATTAACCACATAGAACGAAGCTTATATACTAAACATTTCAGATAAGAATTCAACTATTTAGGGAAACAGACTCCCGCGTGGATGCTTCCTCGAACACTACAATGTTAACTACATCTAAAGTCAATCGTTATCTATCCACTAAAACCTCATAATCATAATCAACATTTCCTTCTCTTATGTCCTCAACTCATTAAGTAACCTGAACTTTGAATGGCTCTTGTGTCTTGTATTGGGTATTTTAAGGCTAACTACCCTAACATACATGCTGACAAATTTAGTGTTACAAGCAGTAGCAGCAAAAGCCAAAAACATGCTATCAAATAAAAAAAAAAAACAAGTTTTAAAATACAGTGAAAAAAAAAGCAATAAATCGATATTTCAAAAAGCAGGTTCATTTTGAATCATTTTTCGGTCTTTGATTAACGCGATTAACGTTAATCCAATTATATCCAGAACTTCCTTTCCCATCACAAACACTCCAGGCGTGTATTCAGGTGAAAGCGTGTGTAAAAAATTATAGTTTATAATAGTGGTTATTTGAAAACATCAAACACGGGGCCGCACCTAACATTTAAGAAATGTACCATTGCCATGTTTTATTCGAGAGTAAAGGACTTCATTGGCATAAACTCGGTGTGGTGTCCACGAAATGCTATTTAAAGTGTGATGAAATGTTTATGCTTTCAAACTCATTAAATACAGACAAAAATAAAAGAAACATATAAGGGGAAAATATTTAATTAAAGAGATAAACTCCAGAAAATGAATCGTCAGTATTTAATAAATAAAAAAAGGTACCAGGGCTGGATTGAGGAATCAGAGAGCCGAGTTCGAATTCCAGTCGAATCCATAACATTCGCTTACGTGCTAATACCATTGGAAAAGGTATTAATCCTCTTCTTCTCTTCCCAGCTATGGGTAAATAGCAGGACAGAGCGGGTTCTCTAGCCTTGGATGGCAACTGGTCCACCACAGAAAGAAATGGCAACCTACTGCGGAAAAAAATCTGCCTCA